CTCTATTACAATTTTTACAACCTCTAAAATGTGGCAACGCAACAATCAGTCTCAGTCTTCAGCAGAACAAGAGCAACAAACAAGAAACTGAAATAAAAAGGTACCTTTTTCCCTTAAAGTGGTTTCCAAAGTGGTTTTGGAAAGTCTGAAATTTGTTTAATCTGACTCAAACCTCAGTGGTTTATGATGCCTTTACTCAGTTGCAAAACACTTTATGACTGTATAGACTGAATTTGAAATAGCGCTTTGCTGTCTTAAGACAGTAAATAAACCGAACAAAAGGTCTTTCTATGGAGATTTAAACAGCAAGACTGAATCCACAGATCTGATCTGTTGACCATATCCAATTTTTTGTCCCATCTGTTTGCAATCACTAAGACTATCCAACTGTGTTTACAGTATAGCGCTACACAGTCCAAATGGATCTCTGCTTTTAGTACGCAATGCAGAGTCAGGAACCAAGAACTGATTCTCATTTAGAAGTGGTTCCTTTTAGTTTCCAAACTAAAAAAAAATAAAAAATAAGAAATAAAATAAAAATACTGAAACTGAAAACTGTATTTGGTTCCACCAGTTGTGAATCATATTAAAGTACTCCAGCTGTGGTATTTATATATATATATATATATATATACAGTACAACCAATGAATTCACATGGATTATCGGTTTGAATCAGTCTGATGGCTCACTTACTGACTGAACTGGTCTGAGAGGTTCTAACTCAATGAATGCTGTCATTTTCTTCGTCATGTCAAATGGAAAATAAACCAAGAACTTTTTATACGTTATGTCGTTGTCACGATATCAGTCAGCTCTCACTATGGACTGCATTTCCCACAAGCCCAGCAACTGGAACTAATTACACACAGACACCTGTTGTCTGTGCGGAGCACTATAAAGGTTGCTCTCACACACACACTCACTGCGAAGTATTGATTATGTTGATGATTGTCTGTCTGTTCGCTACTGTGCCGTGCCTAGCGATTCCTGAGCCCGAGTCTAATCTGTCTGTTCCTGTGTTTTGATCTTCTGCCTTTGTTTGACTTCGCAGTGACATTAAAGCTGCACTTGGATCCGACCCTGCCTTCTCGTATCCTTCCTTCCGTAACAGAATACTTCGCCACCGAGGATCCAGCAGCCGTGTCTGGCCGCTCCAATTGAGGATGGAGTTGGCAAAAGAACTGGTCCGTCTACGACAGGGAGCACAAACCCTCGAGAACCATATCCAGACCTTTATAGACATTGCACACTATGCAGACCTGCCGGATTTTATGCTGATTGACTTTTTTGCTCATGGACTAAATGAGCCACTGAAAGCTCACCTTGTCCGGGATGGTCCTCGTGGATCACTGGCCCAATGTATGGATTATGCGCTTCTGGTGTCTGGATCTTCATTCACTGTGGGTGAGGCCGATCCCGTTCCTGTAATGGCGGCCCTTGCAGAGATTCATCCCGTCGCAGCTAAGGAACCAGAGCCGTGTCTGTCCACGGCTGTTCCCCTTGAATTGACCACAAAACGCCCGAGGTTGGTCTCCAGTGTGGAGGATCCCCCGCTGAGATCGGTGCTAGCGGCTGGTGTGTCCGTGTTCTCAGCGCTGGTAACCCCTCTAAGCTCAGCGGCGGCGCCTGCTGTAGGAGAAGCCGAGGAGGCGACACCCACTACGGACCATCCAGAGGTGGCGGCCATTGCTGCAGAACCTCTCAGGGAAATGGCATATGCTCTAGCTCCCCTCACGGTGGTGAGTCCTATTCCTGAACTGTCTGCTTGTCTGAATTCTGCGGGTAACTCTGATTCTGAACTGTCTGCTTCTCTGAATTCTACTGATAACTCTGATTTTGATCTGTCTGCCCGTCCTGTCACGACTATGGAGGTTGTTTGTGAGCTCACTGACCGTCCTGTAACGGCTATGGAGGCTGCCTGTGAACTCACCTCCTGTCCTATCACGGCTACAGAGGCCGTTTGTGAGCTCTTTACCTGTCCTGTCACGGCTATGGAGGCCGTCTGTGAACTCACTTCCTGTCCTACCAACGGAGGCACGAGAGCTCACCTCTCCCCCGGCCTCCCCCTACCCTTCTATATCATCTAGCGGTTGCAATTACATCAGCAGATTCAGCACATTCGCGATAGAAAAGCGGCGCTTTTACGTTATGGTATTACAACTGTGAAATTACAAACAAAAAATACACATTCTGAGACATGAACTGAAATGAATTGTGAATTTTATTAACATTAAATCGTCCTCCTCCCATTTTCACCTCAAAATTATGGGGAGCTGTGCCTCCCCTGCCTCCCCCGATGAGCCGCCACTATATATACAGTGTTGGGCAAGTTACTTCCAAAATGTAATACATTATATATTACTAGTTATACTGTCTTTTGAAAGTAATTAGTTACATTACAATATTACTGTCTCTGAATTGTAATGCATTACACTACTTTTGAGTTACTTTCACCAAAATATCCACATATGTTTTTTGATCTGTCTGCCCGTCCTGTCACGACTACGGAGGTCGTTTGTGAGCTCACTGACCGTCCTGTCACGGCTATGGAGGCCGCCTGTGAACTCACTTCCTGTCCTGTCACGGCTATAGAGGCCGTTTGCGAACTCTCTGACCGTCCTGTCACGGCTATGGAGGCCGGCTGTGAACTCACTTCCTGTCCTGTCACGGCTACAGAGGCCGTTTGTGAGCTCTTTACCTGTCCTGTCACGGCTATGGAGGCCGTCTGTGAATTCACTGCTCATCCTGTCACGGCTATGGAGGCCGTTTGTGAACTCCCTTCCCGTCCTGTCACGGCTATGGAGGCTGTTTATGAGCTCTTTGCTTGTCCTGTCATGGCTAAGGAGGCCGAGTATGAACTTTTCGCCTGTTCATTTGTGGATAAATATCCTTCCTTCCATAACAACACAATGCAAAATAAATAATACATAACGTCACAAACGAATGTCATAACACTTTTAATAAAAGTATTCATTTTATTATAGACAATATTTTCATATTATGCAATAGCTTTTTACCTAATGTATTTGAAAAAATGATTAGGCTATTTATAATGTTACATATTTCATTGCCAATGTTAAAATTCTTTTTAATATGCTTTCTCACTTCTTAAAAATTATGCAAAACAAAATGACAAATGTTTACTTTAACAAGCCGTCACGTATTTGCGAGCTGCAGCGGTAATCTGTTAAGCGAGAACGAGAAGTTTAAAGTTTACAGGCTTCTGTACGTCGTCCGCCCGCAGCGTCTTCTGTAATTTCTAACGGTTCGATTCTCTTAAGTCTGCATTCGATGCATCCTCGATTTCAAGAACACATCAGGGCACTTTCATGCGTCCTCTGTACTTGCGTTCAGTTAATGATGACGTAGAGCGAGAACACAAGGACGCAAGATCGCATAAGAACGCATATTGAGAAACGGCCATTGAAACTTTTCTATCATGACATTTGTTGTCATGACATCCAGTGAGCTTATGACGTTTGACATAATCGGGCAACATTTCACCGCTAATATGAGTATTTTTATTTTTTGTTATCACTTAGATCAGTGATCCTCAAATCTGGCTCGCGAGATCCACTTTCCATACATTGAGTTATTTGTGGCGGCCCGTCACAATATCAAAACTGACCGCCACAAATAGATTTTCCAAAAGGATTCTACTTCGTTGAATAAACTGAAAAATGTAAATGCAGCGCAGGTGTTTTTATATGAATGTATCATTGAAAAGAACCTTCATAAAAGCTTTGATGTCATTTTCATTTCCTCTTTCCTAGCGTTTGTGAGCACAGTGCTTTTTTGATTACAGCCGTTACCGGGGAGACCGCTATATCTCTGCTCCAATAAGCGCCTCCTGCTGGCAGAGAATGAATTTGCATTTGCAAGTCTGTGGGAAACACTGGTGTCTGTCAACAAACATAAACAAAAAGCATGCTTCAGAACTGTTTTGAGAAGGTGCTTTGAGCCATGTAGTATTACTATGAATTAGGCTACTACTACTACTAATACTATCGCCATCTTGGGCCCTGCAATAATCATTTACTCAAACTTGCTTTTATGAGATAAAGGGAAATAAATAAATAAAATCGGCCAAACATATTGGTTTTCTGAAGTACTCCTGAGCCCATGTGGCTATATTTAACACCGCAGCATGACGGTTTCTTATGCAATGCCATCTGAGGGCTCAAAGGTCAAGCACATTCAACTGAGGTTTCCTGCCTTGCCCTACATGTCCTGTGATTTCTCTGGATTCCCTGAAACTTTTCACAATAGTACGTGTGGTAGTTGGTGAAAGACCTAAATTCTTTGCAATTTTGCATTGCGAAATGTGATTTTTGATTTGTTTGACACTTCTCTCATGAAATTTGGCACAAAGTTAAAGAGAATGAACAAATCACAGATTCTTGATTTGATTACATTTTTACAAAACGTCCTAACTTCTCTGGAATTGGGGTTGTAAATGTATAAAGACATAATTAAGTTGAGACAGAAGAAACGTTTAGATGCAAATATCAGTAAAAAATTATACTGTCAGACCTGGATTAAGCAAAATTGGTCTGGACAAACTGTATTTTGTATTTATTGCTACTGTGGCTACTGGACATAAACTGATCAGCCACAATTTTACATCAATTGAAAAAAAAAGTATAGGAATGTTGCATAAAATATTCTGATATGCATCTTTGTGCAACAGTGTTTCTAGAGTTTTAAATAAAGGCAGCATAACAAATGCACCATATTTTCTTGTTTACCATAAACATTAACATAAGAAAATTTGAAAAGAAAAAAAATATTTGAAAACAAAGCAGGATTTGAAGTGTCCAAGTGTACCTTTCGTCCTGCAGTGTTTCCAGACTTGATGATGACAGTAGTCTGTGGTGCACGACTCAGCAGCGCTACAACAGACTGACGGATTTTAGCCACTTCATGCACATAAAAAGTTAATGGGTGAAAAACCCGGTGGGCAAAGAATGTGAAGACAACGACTGCATGAGAATCACCAGCTATTTCATCAATATCATTGCTGATATAATGCAGGTTGGTAATGAGCAATTTACTAAATCGTAAAGGAACACCATGTGGCCTCCAGTGAATAATGATATTATTTTTCAATTCCACAGCCATCAGGGGTCCACCTGTACAAGGAGTGTGGAGGTCCATTCTTTTTAAATCTAAAAAAAGATCATCAAAACTTACATTAGACTAATTTCTTTATTAATTTCTTAAACAGCAGTCCCAAGAAGTATACTGGCAAATAAGGAATAGTTCACCCAGAAATCACCCATTTACTTTCCTTCATGTCATTTCAAAACTGTTTGACTTTCCTTCTTTTTCAGAACACAGACAAAAAAGATATTCTGACAAACATGTCAATTGTCTTTTTTTATATAATGAAAGTCAACGGGGTCCAATGTTGTTCTGCACACCATTGACTTTCACTATTAGAAGAAAAATAAATAAATATAGGAAGTTTGGAACAACAAATAAATAAATTACTAATAATGAATCAGTTATGACAGAATTTTAATTTTTGGTGCACTATATCTTTTTGAGCGACGCTGAAATATGTACATGTCAGAACAAACTTTCATAAGCCATTTTTGTAATGGCATTTTGCAAGTTTAAAACCTAAATGTTTTGCTTGAAAAGTGTGCTAAATTGTTTGATACTTTTGGACTTTCCATAGACTTCTATTACTTGTATACTGAACAAATTATATTTTATATCCCCTAACCCTAAACCTACCCCTTACAAGAAACCTGTTTGCATTGTTACACTTTCAGATAAACATCATTAATATTTTTTTCCCCTCGTGGGGACCGTAGGCCGGCCCCTACAATGTCAAAAATATCAGGTTTTACTTCCTTGTGGGGACATTAGGTCCCCTCAATGTAGCATAAACAAGTACACACACACACACACACACACACACACACACACACACATAATTAATTAATTAATTAAATATTTTTCTTAAAGGGGTCATCGGATGCAAAACTCCCTTTTACATGTTGTTTGAACAGCAGTGTGTGTACACAACCACCCTATAATGATAAAAATCCAATGATAAAAATCCAGTGGTATTTTTTTAATCTCTATAAATAATATCCCCTTTTTCAAATCAAGCCATTCTCAGCTTCTTGGCTGTGTGACGTCACACAGACCAAGAACGCTCCCACGGTAGTTGATTGACACAGCCGTCTTACCTTAGACCCGCCCCGAGTGAGCTGTGAACAGTCCGACCGCCATTATTTCGACGCCGGAGAATGGTACGTAGACAAGAATGGCTCCTAAGCGATTGAGGTGTTTTGTTATTGGATGTAATAATGAACATAGCAGTTGTCATTTACTCCTGACATCTGAGCCGTTGAAGACGCAGAGGATTAACGTTACTTTTGTTTTTGAAGGGAATGCCCCCTCCGATTTACCTAAATGCATCTATGTTCGTGCGAATCATTTGTGATCCAGCTTCAGATGAAGTGAGTGTAAGGGTTTTTTATGAAACTTTGCAAATCGCCCTTTCCTATAAATGTGCGAGTTAGCAAGTTTTGCGGCTAAATGCAGCTAAATGCGCCTAAAGTAAACAGGACGGCTCGTCACTCCACAGAAGAGAGGGGCGGGGTGAGCAGAGCTCATTAGCATTTAAAGGGAAATTGCAACAAAACGGGTTGCTGTGAAAAGAGCTGATTTTAAAGGGTCATGAAACCCCCCGTTTCAGCACTGGTTAGTTCTCACCACAGTTTTAAAAAACACTAAAAAAGTGGGTGTGGTGCACTGAGGAGCGGAGGAGGGGAAAGAGGGGAGACAGACAGCACAGACAGCTTCGGTTTCAGACAGTTTAATTTCACTCCCATCAAGTTAATAAATGCACAAATAAATGCACAGCCATTTGCATTCTGCATCGAAAACATGTATGAACGCGCTGTTGCACCTCTGATAACGTTAGGCTTATTCTGCAGCGTTTATATAAGCCTTTTGACGGGTGTCACAGAGCTGTAAAAACAGTTACATGGTTACATGAATCGCGTTTGTGCCGAACTCTTATTACAAAGCAAAAACAAACACTCTCCTTCGATCCATGAACGTTTCTCTCAGTTAATGTGCGCGATCTGCGATCCGCAGTTAATGTGGATATACGTTTCCAAGATGGCGGCGCGTGCACACGCTGCGGCTTCTCTCTCTCCCGACAGAACGGTGTTTTCGTGTTTTTTATCTTGTGAGTCGCAGTGTTTTTGTACGTATTCGTCGCGTCTATCTGTCTCTAAGCGCACATACAGTCGTGAGTTTCTGCTCGATGTCGGTAGAACCACATTTTTAGAGCTAAACTCCGCGGACGGACTGACAACACCGCAGCACTGGCCAGGAAAGCACAGCAGTGTCTCTACTTCCTCTGCAAACTGAGAAGAGCCAGAGCCCCGGTCCCCATCATGTGCACCTTCTACAAAGGCACCACACCCGTCTCACCCGCAAAGCCCTCTGCATTGCAGGTGATCCCACCCACCCAACACACAGCTTCTTCAGTCTGCTGCCATCAGGGAGGAGACTGCGGAGTCTCCAGGCCAGGACCAGCAGACTGAAGGACAGCTTCATCCATCAGGCTTTCAGGAAGCTGAACTCCCTCCGGACCTTGCCCCCCCCACCCTCCTCTCTTTTGCCCCACGCACCTCTGAGCTCTGACCCCCCTGAATTTATGCATGTAAATTCCTTATTTAATTTATATTACACATTCATGCTATCAAGTCTTAAAGAAAATAATGACAACAAAGTCATATTGTTGAATTACTTGCCTGGCACATTTTTTTCCAAATACTCAAACCACTGCCTTGTGGTGGAGTCTCCCAACAAGTAGACAATTTTGTTTTTAAGGCAATCTCCCATTCGTGTAGAATTGAACTGTTGAGTGTTGCATACAAAAGACTTCCAAATATCTTTCAAATAGAACCCAGCAGGAACTGGTGTTGTCAAGCCAGATCTGCATCTCTCCGTTGTGCCTAAAGCAAAGAAACATTTACCTGAAAAGACTGTTATCATTGTTCATTCTCTTGTAACTTTACATTAGATTTCAGATGGTATCAGTCCTCTGATATGTGGTCCATGTATATTTTGACCATTTTATATTTGCGAAAAATAAAGAAAATGTAGAGGATATTGTATGAACAAAAGTAAAATGAGATAAATTGTTTTATAGCTTGAATTTTTCATTCACTGAAACATTGCCTATGTGTGCATGATAATATTTAACATTAAGATTAATAAGATTAAGAAGAATATTATGATGAATAACAACAACAACAACAACAACACACTGCTATTTACTTTCTTCTTATTATAATCCAAACAGGGAAAGAAATGGTCAAAATATGTTAATACATACTCCATATGTTAACATACCAATGCCTTCAGTGTTGGGAAGGACATTTATGCTTGTTTTGTCTCCAGTAATAGCAACATTTGTTAATTTCCTGTGGATAAATAATAATAATACATTTTCTACTTTTTTAACATTTTATAATTCTTATGAAATTAATTTTGAATCCTTTCAAACTTACTTTGAAAAAAGTTTATTCTCAAAACGATTTAATGGGCTTTCAAAACGTCCCATGGAGTGACCAACTAGTTTGTCACAGGAAAGTTTCTTCGGTCTCTCACACTGCCACTCCGTCCCTGTTTTTATATCCTTATACTCACAGCAGCATTTGCCTTTCCTCAAACTTCTTTCGGCACCCCACTTAAGATTACATTCTACTACTTCACTGATCCTGGTGTTCTTGGTTCCTGGCCCTTCAAAGTGGCCATTATAGTGGCTGCGTGGGAATGAAGACTCCCTGTATTTTTTAAGAATCTGCACAACCTCACTGGAGTGCTCAAGACGTACAAAAACTTGTGCCTGCCCTTCCCAGGGAAGAAGAAGAACAAAAGAGTAAGTCCCGTTACGATGATCCACAACCTCCCCGTACAGACTTGCCTTCAAGAAGCATAAAAAAGGTTAAGTAATTACTAATGTCTTTTGGTAAAGTAAGCTTATAAACATAAACATAATATGTAATATTTTGTAAATAAATTAACAATTAACAGGCAATCGAAACTCAATATGACAAATGTTTGTATATTGATTTGTACAAAAATGTATCATAAAATATTAAATAAACACACCTTTAGCTTTGAATTGAAAAGCTTTGCTTGGAAAAAATCTCCTCCATATGTTTTCAGGTTCTTGTTGTGGTCTCTGGCTGTGATAACAATGGAGATGCTATCTCCCACTTTGTAACTCTTTTTCAGTTCCACAATAGAGAATGTTGAGTGGACTGGATTTGTGCTCAGATCCAGCTGAGTGATTTGTTGATCTGGACCAGGCCAGTCGAGAGCCTTCTGTAGTCTTTCCCACTCCTCATCACTGATTCCAATGTCAAGTGTGGATTTTGCAAAAGAGGAATTATTCATTTGAATTACTGATTTAGGTCTGGGGGGCAGAAATGGTCTCATTTGAATCCCATCATTCAGTCCACATAGAGCCTGAGAGAGGACGAGGATATCAGTCATACCAAATTCCTTTTTTTTTCAATAAATGTTTAAAGTTGAGTGTACACTGTAAAAAAAATCCACCTATTCCACTTACTGAAAAACATAAGCTCAGTTGCTGCCTTAAATTTTTAAATATAATAAACTTTCAACTTAAATGAAAGCTGCAAACAGCAATGAAAGGGCCCTCGCACCCGGGCTCACTGCCACCCAGTGGCTTTAGGAAAACAGCAAACGGTGTGCAATATGCATTTAAAGTGGTAAATATAAGAGGAATATGTCAAAGTAATTTATATGTTCCAAACACCCTGCTGCCAGCTGGTGGCGCTATGATTATAACTAAATGTTGGCATATAGATGCCTTCAGGCCAGGACTTTTATCAAACATGTGAAGTCTGGTGCAGAATGAACATGGTATGTTCGAGTTAGTGTAAAGCATGATATATCCTGTTGCCAACAGGTGGCGCTATGATTATAACTGAATATTGACATGTTGATGTCTTCATGCCAGTATTCTTACCAAACATGTGAAGTTTGGTGCAGATCGGACATTGCATGTTTAAGTTACTGTAAACCAAGTCATTTCCTGTTGCCAGTAAGTGGCGGTATGATTATAACTGAATATTGCCCTTAAAGGGGTCATATGATGCTGCTAAAAAGAACATTATGAAGATTAACCCTGTATAGACTGACATGAAATAATAGTCTGAAATGTATTTATTTATTTCGTTTTGGAAATGGAACCGTTTATAGAACCTTTAATAAGATAAAATAAGAGATTGTTATATTTGATACATCAGGCTCATATTGTATAATATAGAATATATTGAGAATAAGAATAAGGTGCTCTTTTCTGTTAAAGAAAAAGCAGCTCAGTTTTATTCAGAGGCCCAAACTGAGCAAAAATATGCAATTTGATGCAGTTTCTGACATTTATGTGGTCAAAAAGAAAGATGAAATTCTGATAGAAGTCAATGAGATCTTTATAACAGTATAAAGTATTACGCTACATACATAAAGTGCATATAAATATCAGTTTTCACTCTTTATGTTCCAATAATGTCTTAGTAAGATGATATTTAAATGCTTAGTTTTAGGATCAAAACATATAATGCAATGCAATGCAATGATGATTGAGAAAAGACCAAATAAACAGTTCTCAAAAGCCTGATGATCATATTTGCGACTCGTGATTTTTCTAAAAAATGATGTATGGATAATCAAGTAAACCTAAGCTTCAGTACAGTAAATGTTCAACTTCAAATATTAATTAAAGCTGCAAGCAGCGATGAAAGGGCCCTCGCACCCGGGCTCACCGCCACCCGGTGGCTTTAGGAAAACGGCTAACGGTGGGCAATATGAATTTAAAGTGATAAATATAGGAGGAATGTGTCAGTCATTTATATGTGCCAAACTTCCTACTGCCAGCTGGTGGCGCTATGACTGTAACTGAATGTTGGCATGTAGATGTTTCTAGACCAGGACTTTTATCAAATCTGTGAAGTTTGGTGCAGATTGAACATGGTATGTTTGAGTTAGTGTAAAACATGACATTTCCTGTTGCCAACAGGTGGCGCTATAAATTATAACTGAATATTGTAAATGTTTTCAGGCCAGGACTCTTACCAAACATGTGAAGTTAGGGGCAGACCAGACATTGCATGTTTAAGTTAGTGTAAAACAAGTCATTTCCTGTTGCCAGCAGGTGGCACTATGATTATAACGGAATATTGGCCTTAAGATGTGTAAGGCAGGACACTTATCAAACATGTGAAGTTTAGGGCAGATCAGACATTGCATGTTTAAGAGTGTAAAACAAGTAATTTCCTGTTGCTAGCAGGTGGCACTATGATTATAATGGAACATTGTCCTTAAGATGTGTTAAGGCCAGGACTCTTATCAAACGTGCTCATCAGCTCGTTAGTAAAGACTGCAAGAACTAAATTGGGTGTGTCTGATTAGGGAGACATACAAAATGTGCAGGGCAGGGGGTCCTCCAGGACAGGTTTGGGAACCACTGATTTAGATGTTTTGTTCATTGGGATGTCATTGTAAGGTTTAATTGTCTATTTAATAAGCATATGTGTCATAGCAAGGCGGCATGTGTGTGTGCAGCGATAGAGTTTCCCAAATTTATTTTATTTTGCACAATACAATGACAATAAAGACTTTATTTTCTTAATTTTTTACTTGCATCAAACTTGTGTCTTTTCACATAAATAGAATGTTTAATACGCCAATAAATTAGACCTACATCATTTTTCATTGCACCATTTTTGTGTCTTCCTTACAAAAGAACACAAAGATGCACATTGTTAAAAACACAAAGGCACAAATACAAATGCAATTATTGCATTTAATATATTTAGCAGTAATATATTTTTCTGGCCAATGTGAGCTGTTGACTGTATGGGGCAGCGCAATCGACACGCTTTGTATTTGAGCCTAGCGTGACGTGTCAGTGAGGTAACGAAGCTTAATTTTCACAGGTCACGTAACAGCTTCATTTCAAGCAATGCTCCGGAACACTGTTTCGAAGCACTAGTGTGTCAAAACTCTATCATCACTCTAATCAAACGTGAAGTTTGAGTCAGATTGGACATTGTATGCATGAGTTACAACAACTTCCTGTTTGATGGCATTAATAGCAAGCTTTAGCACATAGTAAATGTTACTAGCATGTTTGAGCATGTTTCTTGTTTGTTTAGCACACAATGGCATATTTTACTGTATTGCTAATACTGCATCACAGATTTAAACATGTCACTTCCTGTTGACAGTAGGTGGCGCTATAACTATAACTGAATCTTGGCATGTCGATGTGTTCAGGCCAGGACTCTCATCAAACATGTTAAGTTTGGGGCAGATTGGACACTGCATGCCTGTGTTACAGCAACTTCCTGTTTCACTGCATTAATAGCATGCTTTAGCACTTAGCTAAGTGTTGCTAGCATGTTTTAGTGTGTTTCTTGGATGTTACCAGCCTATTTAACACTTGCTGGCGCTTTTTAATATGTTGCTAGGAGTCCATAACAGTGTAAAACATGTCACTTCCTGTTGCCAGCAGGTGACACTATGATTATAAGCGAATATGGGGATGTAGATGTCTTCAGGCCAGGACTCTTATCAAACATGCAACGTTTGGGTCAGATTGGACACTGCATGCCTGAGTTACAGCAACTTCCTGTTTCATTGCATTAATAGCATACTTTAGCACTTAGCTAAGTTTTGCTAGCATATTTTAGCATGTGTCTAGCATGTTGCTAGCCTATTTAGCACTTGCTGACACTGGCCGTTTTTCAAACGGAAGGCTGCATCCTCCAGAGGTCGCATTTGTAGGCTGCATATGTCATAAAGAAAATCTTATTTTAGAATATTAACAGTTATAAATTTGACCATTATTCTTAGTTAAGCATAAATTGTTGTAATGTGCTTATGACTCGCGAATGTAATGCTTGGTTAACTGAAATAAACCAGGCTTGATGAGGTATGCAGCCTCTAAATGCGACATCAGGAAGATGCAGCCTTCCGTTTGAGAAACGGACACTTTTTAATATGCTCCTAGGAGTCCATAACAGTGTTAACCATGAAATTTCCTGTTGCCAGCAGGTGGCCCTATGACTATAACTGAATATGGGCATGGACATGTGTTCAGGACTGAACACCTATCAAACGTGTGAAGTTTGGGGCAGATCGTACATTGCTTGCCTGAGTTACAGCAACTCCCTGTTTCATGGCAAAACATCAAAATTTATCAGGCCACCAGGGACACGCCCTTTCACGAAAACTCAAGATCTTCGCAATATAGCATCGCAAAGGCGTTATGATTACACTCAGCAAATTTGAAGATGATCCGATTAAAACTGTGGGAGGAGTTCGTTAAAGTACGAGGCCTGAAAATGGTAAAAACTGTACAAAAATCGTACAGGAAATTCAAAATAATGGACTCCCTGTTGGGTTTCGGATTTTGAACCAGGAGACATTTTGTAGGTAATGGTGTGTTACATGTGTCTACCGATTTTCGTACATGTACGTGAAATGTAGCTCGAGGGGCACTTCGTTGAATTTTATAGGTGGCGCTATCGAGCCATTTTGCCACACCCGCTTCTGATACCCATATTGTAAATTTTCGCAAGTTCTGATGCGTGTGCAAAGTTTAATGAGTTTTGGAGCATATTTAGGCCCTCAAAAATACTAAGTGCACTAAGTGCAAATAGCTATAGATTCTATTGTTGAAGCAAGTTATGTGGTGAGTGAGTTGATCGCTAAAGCGGGAAAGCCATTCACAGAAGGGCAGTTTATAAAGGATTCCATGCAGAAAGTTGCTGATATTCTTTGTCCAGAAAAGCACAGCAATGGCCCCCAGCCAATTTGAGTTTGAGACCCCTGATTTACACTATGTTAAAATAGCAGGGTTTTCTGATATTTATACTGCTTAACGCAAATAGTGGCAATTATCTGCACCTCAGCATTGTAGTATATTATAAAACAGTATGCAATAACAATCCACCTGGGACGGCTTCTGCGTATGACAGTTAGCGGAAGTGAGAGAAAAGCTCCCCCCGGAGCTGTGTGAGGCACGTTTAATTATGGGTGGATGCTCTTTATTTGACTACTTTTGGACTGTTGAAAAAAACACCTGCCCACTGCCATTATAAAGCTTGGAAGAGCAAGGACATGTTTTTAATATAACTCCGATTGGATTTGAAAGAAGTCTGAAAGAAGAGTCATATACACCTAGAATGGCTTGAGGGTGAGTAAAACATGGGCTAATTTTCATTTTTGGGTGAGTTAACCCTTTAAGCTTTTCCATTTTAAACATTCAAGAGATTTTAAAGCATGTAAGCACAAGTAGATGCAAAAGAGCTTAAGAGTACTCACGTGCTGTGTTCAGTACGCACACACAGAGCCGCCTCCCAGAC